CAAGATACTTGTCTGTAAAGATGTGAAAAAATACCCTGTCATATAGTCAAGAAGCAATGAAGCCTGCCCAGTGTCGCACCCGGTCCTGTTCCCACTTGGATGCACGGTAACTGCAACTCTCCCATGATAAGAAAGGTCGGAAGGGGATTGTAAAGGATGTAAATCCAGTCCTGTCAGTCTGACCTTGGTGCCAGGGAAGGTTATGGAGCAGATCATCTTGAGTGCCATCATGCAGCACATGCAGAACATCCAGGTGATAAAGGCTCAGTTAGCATGGGTTTTTGAAAGGCAGGTCCTGCCTGACTAACTTGATTGCCTTCTATGACAATGTGACCCTCTTAGTGGATGAGGGAAACCCTGTGGATGTTGTTCACCTAGACTTTAGTAAAGTCAAGCCCAAAGAGAAGTAGTGAGTGGAGTTGGCAGCCAGTTACTAGTGTTGTTCTGCAGGGCTCACTACTGGGGCCAGTACTGTTTAATATCTTTATCAGTGATCTGGACTAGGGGATTAAGGGTACCCTCAATAAATTTGCAGACAACACCAAGTAGGGTGGGAATATTGATCTGCTTGAGGGTTGGAAAGCTCTACAGAGGTATCTGGACAGGCTGGATGGGTCAAGTCCAATTGTATGAGATTCAATGAAGAGAAGTGCCGGATCCTGCACTTGGGCCACAACAACCCCATGTAACGCTACAGGCTTAGGGAAGAATGACTGAAAAGCTGCTCGGTGGCAAAGGACCTGAGGGTGCTGATCTATGCTGCTGAACATGACCCAGCTTGTACGCAGGCAGCCAAGCAGGCCAGCAGCATCCTAGCCTGTATCAGCAATAGCGCAGCCAGCAGGGCCAGGGCAGTGATCATCCCCCTGTACTGGGTACTGGTGAGGCTGCACCTCAAATCCTGTGTTCAGTTCTGGGCCCCTCACTACAAGAGAGACATTGAGGTGCTGGAGTGGGGCCAGAGAAGGGCAATGAAGCTGGAGAAGGGTCTGGAGAATAAGTCCTGTGAGGAGCAGCTAAGGGAACTCAGGTGTTTGGCCTAGAGAAAAGGAGGCGCATGGGGGACCTTATGGATCTCTACAACTACCTGAAAGGAGGTTGTAATAAGGTGTGGGTCAGTCTCCTCTCCCAGGTAACAGTGATAGGACAAGAGGAAATGGCCTCAAGCTGCTCCAGGGGAGGTTTAGATTGGATAGTAGGGAAAATGTCTTCACCAAAAAGATTGGAATAGGCTGCTCAGGTAAGTGGTTGAGTCACCATCCCTGGAGGTGTTTAAAGAACATGTAGATGTGGCAATTAGGGACATGGTTTCATGATGGACTCGACAGTGTTTAGTTGGACTCACTGATCTTACAGGTCTTGTCCAACCTCAATAATTCTGTGATTCTATGATGTGCATTACTCACACCACTGAGGCAACTGCCACCAGCAAGATGCTCCAATCGCCTGCACCCTCCCTTTGCTCACGACCTCTTTAGAAGGTGAATGGCAGAATTAGGAAAATACCCTTTGACTTCCTAGCTGTTATTCTGAATCTTGGATAATGTCTTTGCTGTTGCCTGTCTTCACTGACTCTACAGCTATGCCTGAGATGAGTAAATGGCACAAATGTACGTAAAAGCTGCTAAATGTCAAATATTTTGTACTGGAAATTAAACCAAGCTTCTGCAGCTCATCTGTCTAATTTCTTGATTTTTATTGTTTTTTTTTTTTATTTTTTTTCCCCTGAGGTGAGCTTATGCCTTGCCTGTGTGGAAACCTCAAGGGGAAACCAGGGGTTAGTTTTCAGTCAGCGGAGCGTCTTTCAGAAGCTCCCATAGACATCCTTCTAAAACAAGGAAGTAGCAAACCTGTGAGCTAGGAAGTAAATCCTGAGCCTCTTACCAAGCATTAGAAACCCCTCTACTTCAGTTTTATTTTTCTTGTAATTCATTGGCAGATGACTCTAACACAGATCAGTCAAAAAACCATCCAAAAACATTAGCGCATTCGAAGATGGCTCATCTCTGTAGATGAAACAACCACCTCTACCTTCCGTTTTGAATAAATTCAGATTTTAACTGAAGTGGCCTGGCTTATTTCCAGTTTATAGTAATTCCACTTACCTGAAATCCTCCCTTAATACAATTCTGATGAAATGTTTGTCATCTCTCAACTGTCTGCAATGGTTGCAAAGTGCTACAGGAGCAAGAGTGGTTACAGCAGGGGCAAGTAAAGGGCGTTCTTTACAGGCAGTGATAAAATTTTCAAGAGCATCCTCCACTGGCATCAATCTGTTCCCCTGGGAGAAACACAGAATTTCCACAGCCTCTGATGGTGGATGAATTAAGCAGACACAGGTGCTTTTAGACATCTCAATGCTCTTCCAGCAGATTTTGTATTGATACATTGAAGTCACTTAGATTATTAGTTGGTTGGAAAGACAGAACTTACACATAGGAAAAAAAAATAAAGCTGGAAGCATAAAAATCAGTATTATTAAAATAGTGAGGGCATGTGATAAAGGCAATTTTATTTTCACTGTGGTGGCTTGTTTCTTGTTTCCTTTGATGACATATTTTGCCTAATGTTTTCCAGGAAGACAAGTAGCTTGAAATCTCCTGGGAAAGTACAGGAACAGAGAGATGAAGTTAAAATGCTCCTTGTATTTCAAGTACTGTTTTGGTACAGCTGTTTAGCAAGCAGTGTAAATAGTTACTGCATTTTATTTCAAGGCTCAGAGACTCCTTTTATGAGCTTATCTTCTTTATTGCTCCGGAACAGCAGCAAAACCCAACACTTTCTTATCCATATACAATGCGTTACTAACTGAATCCAGCCTGGAAACCCCTGTGGGATGTCCGTCTTCTGAACATCCTAACCTCTCCTCTGAAAGTGGAAGCTACTTTCCCCAGTATAGTAGCAACATTTTAATGACTGGGAGGGGTTTCTTACCCCTGCACCCGCAGGAACTTGTTCTTTACTACATTATTTAGCTCCTTTGCAATCCTTCAACAAAGTAAGAAATATCATAAATACAAAGCATCATCCCATAAAATCATACTCCTTTAGAGTGGCAATTTGGGATCACGTTCATGACCTGGTGTGCTCTTCCAGTAGGAAAGTGGCAAGCAGAACTGATGCTCAATTAGAAGATGAGAGTAAGAAATTAAATAACTACAAGTATCCCATTCAACAAAAGACTGAGGATCTGCTATAGATCGAAGGAAAAAGCAAAACTGTTCTCCAAATGATTTAAGAAGCTGACAAATACGGAGAGATTTATTAATCATTGTGGTCTAACCTCATGCAATGGTAAGAAGTGAGGGGGGTTTGCAAACACTGTGACTTAAAGGCAACAGACATTCTTCATAGTCTGTGGATGGATCTGCACCTCTGGGTTTGTTTTGGAGGATGGGAACGCAGTTAGAAATTCTCAATCAACAGCTTCTGTTCCGAAGTATTATCTGGAATTGGGTGCATGCCAACAGGCAAGTGAAATTCATGTTCTTTTGAAGTAAGTTATCCTGTCTAGTATAAAGTAGAACTTTTCTGTTATTCATAGCTGGAAGATGGCCTGATCTATGGTTCAGATACAATTAACGGTTTCATTTCACATCATTCTTTTTCCTCGTAACTGAATAGCTGAATCACATGCTGAAGAAAGCAACTCTAGACCACTTCTATAAGAAAGCTTTGCTTTCTCCTGTTCTTCTAACAATGATTTTTTGGTTTTCCCCCAAAAAATCTTCAGCCTAGTGCCTAAAACACTTCATCAATGGGATTTAGACATCTTCTTTTGGAAACAACATGTGCAAAATTGTTGGGATAGTTACCCTAAGCTTTGCAGGAGAGAGACCTTTAGCATCTACCCTGCCTATAAAATACTACCTTCACCCATCCCGTATGCACCCACTTAACTCTTCTTCCTGCTCCATACTCAAAAGCAATAGAAAACCTGAACCCTCACCCTCAGTTTGGTTGCTGGCACTGGTGTTATCTGACAGCACTTCTCCATGAATGTATCAGAGCCAAGTATGTAATTAATGGGAATTATGAAAACTGAAAAGTACAAGGTTTAACTTTTTGAAAAGCACCTTCTGCCCCCACATCAAAGGGCTCATTGATTTCTTGCTGAAGTTCTGGCCAAAGTGGAGCTAAGTGGGTGAAAGGAGGGGAGAAAAAGATCAAATCTTATCTTAGGAACTGTATCAAGCAAGTACTTCATGGCCCATCTGAAACTGATCATGAGACAATTCCTGATTTAGTATGCCCAGCAAATGTTAGGATTCTGCCTGAGTACGCTCTCCAAGCAAGAAACAGCTCTTCTTTCTCTTTGCTCCTTTTCATGTGTCCTTGAACTCTGTGTTCTTAGAAATTCCAAGTAACTATTCATGTTAATAAAGTGTTAAGATGTTTGACCAGGAAGATTAGCTCTGCTGATTTCAGCACTTCAAAGGGGAAAGCGCTGTGTTGTTTTAACCATTTCAACACTCACCCACAAAGTTTATTTTCTTATCCCATTTAACTTCTGTTCAAAATCAAACAGGAAGCAATTAAGGTGAGCCTACTACAAAGCAGCCCTCAAAATACGTAGCCAGGTCCCTAGTGCAAAATGAAGGTCATGTCCTGAAAATGTAATTATATATGTTTGGAAAGAATGCAGAGCACATAGGCTGGGGTGGCTGGTGTAAAAATACACTACCTTGACTCCACTTTAAGCAGGCAGATGACCATGGCCAAGACAGACATTGCTACCACCACCTCCATGGAGGCACTGGTGGCAATACTGATTGAACTGATAAACCACATTACATCAACAATTTTATCTACCTGAATTAACAAGAGGGGGTAAGAAACTCAACTCCCTACTAAGCTACAATGCAATAATCATTTCCTCTCCCCTAACTCCTGTTTGACTTCTGTCAGGTCACTGCCACAATAACACAGAGAGGAGGGATGTTACGGAAATAAGCATCTAAAGGCAACAGTGGGAGACAAAGCAAAGTCTTTACACAGGATTTAGCTAATTAGATTTTGGGCAAATATTTATTTATCTAAAACCAAAATAAAAATCAATTTTAAAAGAAAAAAATGTATTTAAATAAAAAAAAAACCAAACTGTGAAATGCTATGGCACAGAAGTTCAAGACAAGTATAAATCCAGTTGCCACAACTGTTGCACATTAATGTTGCATGTTTTTCTATAAAGGCTTTATTAAAGGTATTTACATGGCAATAAGATGTGTAAATATATACAGCAATCTAGGGACAACTCTTTTTGGGGATTCTTGTATGAAAAAATGCCTTAAATACAAAATTTTAAAAGAAAAAAAGTTGAAGAGTTCATCTCCAAGCATGAAGAATGTCCCATCATCCCTTATGCCCAAAGTGTCAATTATGAGGCAGTTTTGAGGTTCCGGCCAAACCTTTGGGAGATTCAGCCAAGGTTGTGTAGTCTCAAGTTAAATCGCACAGCATGCAGTTGCAATAGTTCCATACTTGATGGACTGGTGTAGTTCATGAGTGATATTGGAAACAGTAATATTTTATCATAGTTTCAGTCTGGTTTGGGATATTCTAAGTGATGCCCAAGAGCTCCTACGCACAAGAGTTCCTTAGCTGCTCGAGTTTGTGTTTCAACTGTTCTCTCCTCCGCCTCAACTGCTCTTTCTCTGCGATCAGTCTGTGTTCATCTGACTGGATGGAAAGAACGTACTCCGTTGCTTTTTTCAGGATGACAACCTTGGGTGCCTTTTCATTGTTGGCCACCTCAGGTATCTGGTCACGCAAGGCAAAGAAACTCAGCTTCAGCTCATTTCTCCTCTGGCGCTCCAAGACATTGTGTGTTCGCCTCTTGTCGTTCTCTTCTGAATCTGATGTGCGGGGACTTGAGCATTTTCGGTTGTTGCTGATCTGTTTGAGAACTCTGCCACTGTCCAACTTTAGCCTTTTTGCAGCTGGGTAGTCAACCTTGGTGGAGGGAGGAGCGGCATAATTGTGCTGATGGATGTTGACATGACACCGTTTAAGAACCAGCGGGCTGTGGTGGGGCTTACTGTGCTCTTCTGATGTCTCTGTGCTGGACTCTGTGCTGGATTCGGATTCATTCGCTTCAGCTAATGTGACAACATCAATTTCCTCATCTTCCTCTTGTTCTTCTTCTGCAAGGGAAGGAAAAAAGATTCATAAGCTTATCTGTGCAAACACACTGAAGACCACTATTCATAAGGGAAGGCTACTCTGAGCTGCACAAAGAGGAACCCATTGACAAACCCTTCTTAAACCCAATTGATGTTGCTGGACTTCACCTTTTCCAAGAGCCTTTCCATTAAGGAAACAAGTCTTCAAGTGCAGTAGGACACACCGCCCAACAGCACTCCAAACCCCAGCTCCCTGATTTCAAAAGTTACAATGATCTTGTGCAATTCCAAGGAGCACATGAAAGATAGCAGGAAAGTTTAACCTCGGTTGTCAGCAGTACAGCACAATAAAGCTCCCAGACTCAAGCTGCCCTTAATTAAGGATTTAGAAGGCTTTGGCCACGCCTCAAAAGAAAGCTTACTTAACACACATGTGTATTCAGAGACATTTTCTGAATCTCTCTTGATCTGCTAATTTGTGGAAAACCAAAGGGAGGGGAAAAGAAAAAAGGGGGGAGGAAAGGCTGGAACGCTTTGAGTAGAAGCTCACTCTCAACCCAAATTTATGAGGGAGCGGAACACGCTGTCACATACCTAAGGAAGCATTTCTAAAACTTTCCCAGCCCCATTCACTCCTCGGCAGCCACTTTCACTAGCACCTCCCCGACTGCACATTCCCCCGCGGCTCTCGGGCGGGAGTTAACTCCTTCCCGGCCCACAAGGGGCACCGGGAGCCAGCTCCACCGGGACCCCGACAGGAAAGTTTCTCCTTCCTCCCCCCCTTATTTTTCTTATCCGCCTCCCCCTTCCTCCCTCCGCTCCTGGATGGAAAACTGGGCTGTTTTTCCAGGAAATAAACTCATCGGAAGCGTCGCTAACGTGGCATTTGAAAGAGTCCATGCCGGAGGGAGGAGAATCGGGAGGCAGGCGGGGGGCTGCAGCCCCTCTGCCCCCCGCGGGTGACCCCCATGTCCCCACTCACCCGAGTCGCTGCTGGTGGTCGGCGGCGTGTCGTCGCCCAGCAGGGACGCGGGGCTGGAGCCGGGGGGGCCTGCCCGTGGGGCCCGCTCGCTGAGTGGGTATGGGAAGACCACCGAGGGGTCGATGCAGTCGGCGGCGGCAGCGCCCAGGTCGTGCAGGTAGAGGCCGGCCGAAGCGGCGGGGGATGCGGCGAGGCCGGGCGGCGGTGGCCCCGCGGGCGTTGTGCCGGGGCGGGCGTTGGGGCCCCCTTCCCGACGGGCCGCCTGGTAGGAAGCCAGCTTCTCGGAGACCACCTTCTCCAGCTTGGCGGCGGCGGAGAAGCCGCTCCACATGCAGTCCTGGATGATGATGGACTTGACGAAGGACTCGTCATCCGGATCGCAAATGAAGCTTTGGTTGACCATGTCTCCCCCGAGGAGCTCGGTCACGATCTCCAGCTGGTCGGCGGTGGAAGGGAAGCAGGAGGCAGCGGCAAGGCTGGAGCGGCGGCTTGGGGAGAGGGGCGGCGTGGGCAGCAATTCAAACTTCTTCCAGATGTCCTCGGACGGGGCGGGGGGCTGTAGCTCGCTGCCCCGCTGCTGCGCCGCCAGGTAGAAGTTCTCCTCCTCCTCCTCGAAGTAAAAGTAGGGCTGCACCGAGTCGTAGTCGTAATCGTAGTTCTTGCTGGGGAAGCCGGCGCTGAGCGGCATCGCGGCGGCTGGTGCCTGCAGGCAGGAGGGAAGGGGGGGAAGAGGGGTTCCCGGTTAAGCAGCGATCCTCCGAGGGGAGCAGCTCCCCCCGGCCTCGGCGGGACCACTGAACTCCGCTGCGCGCAGCGCTCCCTCCCGCTCCCCGCGCCGGGGAAACGCGCAGACTCGTTTGGTAATTAAAATATTATATAATAATACAAAAAATTAAGGCACGGCCTCCCTTCGCCCCCTCCCAACAACGGGACAACCGAGCGGCGCGACCTGATCTGCCGCGGGGTCGGCTACCGGCTCCCGGACCACCCTCCCCGCTGCTGGGGGCTCCCGCAGCTCTGCCGCCCCTGCTCGGCTTAGCTCCGCGCCCGCCGCCGCTGCCGCGCTCCCCCGAAGCAGCGCTCCGGCAGCGCCGGCACACAGACCCTGCCTTCCCTCCCTCCCTACTGGGGCCGCAGCGCCATCCCCATCCCGCCTCCTGCGTCCCGGGAGCCGGGCGGGAAAGGACGGCGAGCGGCCGGACAGCTTCCAGAGGGGAACCGGGCTGCTCCCCAGCCACCCACCTGGGCGTGCGGGCAACGCACGGGGACAGGCAGAAGCCTGGGCAAACTTTGCTAAATCGTGTTATATATACATACATACACGCATGTATGTGTGTATATAAGCAATATGTGCAATAACCATAACCTGCCCGCGCGTAAGCGGGAGAAGCAAATGCTCCTCCAGAAAAAAAAAAAAAAAAAACAAGCACAACAACAACAAAAAAAAAAACCAAAAAAACACCACACCACCAAACCCTAAAAATTAAATAAAATCCGAGCACAAGAAAAAAGATGGGGAGCGGCGGTGCCCCAGCAGCCGAGGGACCGTCGGTATCCACGTCCGCGGCAAGCCCGGGTGTCACCGGCCCGTGTCAGTCCAAACGCCACAACCGCGGGATCGAGTGATGGGAAGAGCAGAGCCCCGCAACTCACCGGCTTCTCCAACGCGCCAGCTGCGAGACGTAACGAAGCAATTATTGCAGGCGGTGCGGAGCAACAAAACAAGGGGAAAAATACAAATAAGAAAAAATTAAAAATAAAAAAAGCAGCACCGCCGGAAAGGACGGAAGGGGCGAAAAAAGAAATCGCAGCAAGAACGTAGATCTCTTCGTCCACCACGGTTTAAAAAACCCACTCGGCGCAGCGGAGAGAAGCCGCCTATCCCGGGGTGCGCAGGCTGTATGTCCAAGGCGGGCGGCACGCTCTGTCCGGTACAATAGAACTTTAGTAGCTTTAAAGCGCAGGCGAGGGGCGGGCGGGAGGTGCCGCGGGGGGCGGGGGCAGCACCGCGGGGCCCCATGCGCGCTCTCGCCTTGCGCGCCGCCGCTCCCCGCCCGCTGCTTGCTGCCGCGCAGGCTCCGCGCTCCCGCCATGGGGAGGGCGCGCCGCGAGGGGGCGGCCGCGCTGCTCCGCGATAACCACCCCACCCCCCCCCCCGTTTCTTTCCCACCACCCAGAGCCGCGCTTGGCTGCGGATGGATCCGCGGGCGCGCTTGGCTGTTTCTGCGCCGGGCCGGAGGCGCCGGGGGGAGGCGATGCAGCGCTCCGCGGCCCTTCCTATTTATTTTACTATTTTTTTTTTCCTTTTTACTACGAGCCGGGCAAGGAGAGGTCGGAAGTAAACATAGTAAAAAAAAATACTAGTAGGGATTAAAAGGCAGCTCCTCGCCGTTCCCCTCCTCCAGCCCGCTTCCCGGCAGGGACACAGCGCGATGCCACCCGATGGCGGCTGCAGGGGAAGGGGCTTCCTCCTCTCCTTTCCCCGCCTCACCCTGGGCTCGAAGGGCGAGGTGGCGCCCTCGGCGGGGCAGGGCCGGCGAGGGAAGCGCTGGCTCCCGGCACAAAGGAGCGTGTGTGGCTCGGGCACCCCCCGCCCCGGTCGCCGCTTGATTATCCCGCCTCTGCCGGCGTCTGCAGGGGATTAAACTGGGAGAAGGAGGCTGCGGGGGGGTGCGGGCAGATCCCCACGGGGGTCACCTTGCAACCGCTTTCCCTTTGACAGCCCCTGGGGGTGCCCCCCCCCATTCTGACCCCTTCCTCCCCGCCCCTCTGTGAACCCCCCCTCCCCATTTTTGACATCCCCGATGGGGCACAGAACCGCGGCGGCTGCCGAGCCCCGACGGGGCGCCCCCACCCCGTTTATGGCAGGTCACACCGGTACCCCGGCCCCGCACACACCGTTAGCTGCCGCGACCCGCACGGGCACCGCCGCCCCCTCCCACCGTACCGGCAGGCAGCGCTCCCGCACCTGCGGTTCCCCCACCGAGCCCCGGGGGTCCTTCCCCCCCCCCCCTCCCGCGCCGTCCACCGCACCCCCAGGAGATGGGGGGACACTCCGGTATGATGTAACCCCCCCAATCCGCTCCCAAGCGCCTGTCCCCTCCGGGGTTTCTATTCCTATCGGTACATTTATTTCTCTCCCCCCCCTACAGCTTTTCCCTTAAGCCGAAGGCACCGGCCCGGGGACAAGGCGGGAGCGCCCCCTCCGCCGCCGCTTTCCCACGGCTGCCGCTACCGTGAGGCCATCGCGCCCTCTGCCGGCCGGCCCGGCCCGCGGGAGGCGGTGCAGCCCCGCCCCGGCACCTGCGGCTCCCCCTCCCCCAACGGTGGCGTCTGTCCTGCACCCACCCCCCAAAATACCCCCTATGAAGTGTCCCCCCCCGTAACCCCCGTTGCTGTTTGTCTATAAACAAAAGCAAGCATCAAGCTCCAAATGGTCCAAAATCTGGACCGTTCTCTCCTCTTCCACACCCCGTTAGTGAAGAAGGGGCAGTTTCACACAGGATGAAAAACCAGCCAGGAGCAGTGGTGGAGTCAGGATGCAGATGCTTCACCTACTGACATTTTCAGCGTTGGATTTACCCTGGCTCAGAAATGGCTTAAAATATATAGGGCTATTTTTAAATGCCATTGCCCTCTGTCTATAGTAGACCTTGCTGCTGTGAATGGAAATAACGTGACTAAAGGGAGGCCCGATCTCAGCCAGAAAGGTGTAAGATCAAAATTAATCTAGTTACAACTGGTGTAAAACACAGTGTGGGCACTTTTATCTATGTAAGAACAGCACCAAAGTGGGCAGATGCATTATAAATGCCCTCAAAATTGTAAAAACCATTGAAGTTCAGCTGGAGTTGGTAACAGTAGGAGTATTTTGAAAGCACTCTGGTACAGATAGGGTTGAAAATTATAACCCTATTCCTAACTGCAATATTATCATAGTCAAAGCAATTAACTGTAGTATCATAGAGGATTATGACTTGAAGTGAGGAGTAAGCAACAGGAGCAGATGGACTCTTAAAATACCCTGTGTTCACATGAATAGAAAAGCAGGAAAGGAGGATTGGAAGAAACGCGCTATTGAAACAATATAGCCTTCAGGGGAAACAGTCTTTAAGATATTCTATAGGACTTCTATAGGTCTCATGCAGACTGCAAATGTGCTTTTTCTTGCGGAGCCAACTTGCATCTTAGGTGGCAGTTTTAGTGTGGATGAAGTAGGATGTTTCGCTCTGATTTCTTCTGTCCAACCCCAGCTGTAAAAGAGTACAGGTGAGGTATGAAATCATAAGTATAAATCTCCAGTAAAAAGGCCATTTTGACAAAATAGCTGCTATAAGGAAAGAATAAATATACAACTATAATGTTAAGGAGACGGCAGAGTCAACGGGATTGTTTTGACACAGGGCATTTAGTGATAAATAGGAGGGGGGGGGGGGGCCGAGCTGGGAGCCTGGGTGGAATTTATGTGTGATGGCAGAGTGGGAACCTATGAGAAGCAGAAACGAAAGGAAAACCTGAGAGAGAAGTGGAGATGGTGAAAAAACCTCTCACACCTCTGTGTCTGGAAACCGCTGAGACAACTCATAATGTTACACGTGCCTGTGCCACCTACCTCATGGGTTGCTTTCAGGAGATGTCTGCAGTTTCTTTCTCAGTGGACAATAAGCTGTCTGGTAGGTGTAGGGTCACCATGATCTCGTAGCTACCTTCAGCAATTTCTACTGAAGTTTTCTCTTGACTCTCCATAGGCTTTGCAGGTTCCTGGTCTTCCACTGATAAGAAATGGGAAAGCACTAACCAGGTATTAATTAGTCCTGGAAAGTTCTTACTCCTTCTATGAGAGATTTACCCAAAGAAGTGGTCCTTGCACCCAGAGCTGTTAGAATCCTGTCTCCACTGCTACCCTAAAAGACCCCAGCCCCAAAGGCTGCCCCACACTACAGAATCAAGAAGAATCAAATTTGCCCTATAAGAGCCAGAAAATAAACCGGTTACTTTTTCATCTCTTTCAGTGGCTGCAATATCTTTAACAATAGGTGAGATGTGTGTAGGCAGAAGTTGACAGTGTTTCTGCAAGCTGCGTAGCATTGACTAAATTAATAACACCTTCCTACCCCCCCTCTTTCAGGCTCTGAAAGACTCTCATGCTGCACTGACATGTATATTCTCAATGGACTTCCCCAGCATGAAGAAACACAGACCTCTGGGAGGGCCACTGTTCACTACAGTGAAAAACAGAGCCACAGATACACCTCGTGTTGAAGACATAGCAAGACAAGCATCACTGCACTTCCCACCTTTGCCAGCCAAGTACAGCAGCCCCAGCCATGGGCTGCAAGTCTTTGGCATGGTAAAGGGTGCAGAAGAAAGCAGTGAGTTTTGTGGATGATGTGTAAAAATATCATCACTAAATATGAATGAGAGGATCACAATAGGATCATACAATGAAATAAAACATTCTAGTTTTAAACCAGAGGTAGTGTGTATCAAATGCTGAGGTCTCATCTGCTGCTGGAAGGCAAGGCTGTTTGCAACCTCACCTTGCAGATGTCCATCTTCAGGCAGTGATATCATGGGGTCAGTGAAAGTGACATCTGATGTAATTTATTTGCCTTTCCCTCGTGCTCTCAGTGATGTGCAGCAAACATGGCAGGCTCTTCCTCTGCACTATGCTTCTCATGATCCTCACTATGGAAAAATTCAGACAGTTTATTCCCAACAGGAAAGGGGAAATGCACAGAAGGAAATAGAGGAAAACTAAATGGGGAGAGGGCTGGGGAAATAAACTGTTATGATGACATTAAATTATTCCCCCAGCGCTCACAGAAAAACATTGAAATCCCAGAAAAGTGAGTTTTGTCCTCAAGAGCATTAGGGCAGATCCTGAGCTGCTCCTCTGGCTTGGCTGCAAACACCAGTCTTCAACCCAGACCCAAGGAGATTTGAAATGATCCTGCCCAGTGTCCAGAGCTAAGATGTATTTTGTCTATTGATTGTTAAACCCAAACATTTTAGATGTTGGCCCTTCAGTTGCACAGTGCCTGTGAAATCAAGTCTTCAGTGAAATAAAACCATTGCCAGTTTTTAAAGGAGGTTTGCCATTAGTCACACATTCATTGATCAGTATGTATATGTCCTGCTTTATCCTATTCTATGTGGTTGTAAAATTGAAGAGGACAACAGGATTGAAAGACAGGAAAATATCTTCATTGTAATATAACTTTTTTTAAATACAGAGAATAAAATCCTTTTCACCAGCTTTGGTCTTTCCATCCTTTGCAGCATTTATTTTATTCGCTTCAGGGTAAAATAACCACAGCTGTTAATTTAACTTTGTTTACAGACAGTTTTACTCTGCAGGTCTTTCAAATCATCAGTTTAGTTGGGTATCAAATTTGAGTTTATTTTCAAACAGAGCAGCCCTTGATTAGTTTATTCTTAACTATATAAAATAATTCAGATGCATATACAACTGGTTTAAAATCTCAACACCAGCTGCCTAATGCTATTTTGTTGTTTAAGTACAGTAACTGTAAACTAATCTTAAATCCCACTGAAGCAACCCCCAACATACAGTAAAGTTTGAATCAGCCCTTCCTACACAAATTAACACCTTTTGACATGGGTAGCAGGGAGGGACCCAGCTAACAACAGTAGTTTTGGCATTCCTTGACAGAAGAGAGTTGTCCAGCTGTGGATTAAGGGTGAATTACAGGAAATCTGCACTGATTTAAGTGCCTGATAAATGAGGAGATCTTCAAAGCTCTTGTGAAAGATAAACAGTTGTTTTTGAAAGTCCGGGTAATTTAAATTTCTCATCGAAAAGAAAAAGAAGAGCTTTTTCAGGACAATCAGCCCCAAAAGGCTGGTCCTGTATCCCCATGCCCTCTGCATTCTCTGAATTTCATGCTGCAGTTACCAGATTGTTAAGGCATCCCAGCTCTGCTTGATTAACTC